GTAATATTGAACACTTGCAGTAAGGTTTAGTGAATCATGTTTCATTGCAGGGTAAGTGTGGTCGATGAGATGTGGAAATATTACTTAATGCTAATGGGAGTTTAATCATTCACCAAACTTCAATGAGACCTTCATAGTTAGATTCACTTATACAATGTTGATAAAGTCAATAAAGTTGATGGAATTCCTTAAGTTCGGACCACTGAAAAAATTCATAATTTGTGGCCATTAGGGAAATATTTAAAAAATAAATAAAATAAATCACGAAATATATATATTCAACTTCAGTAAAATGTTATTTATGAGGATTTTCAGCGCAAGCCGTATGTCCACCGACATTTAAGAGATGGGAAACCTAAAGTTCCTGATAGGTGCAGTCTGGTTTTCCCATCTAGCTAAATTTACGATGTTGAGCTGGGGAAATATTCAACACACGGTAATAACAACGCCTGACAGCAGAATTTCTATTTGTTTCTGGAAGTCGGCCATAAAGTGAGGAGAAATATCTGATCATGCCTGTACATATCACGATAATTTAATATAAGCTGAATACAGATTTAAATAAAAAAAAATAGAACAATCAGCATAACTAAGGATTTAGGTACAGGGAGAGTGTGTTTCATATGATAATGTTATCAGTAAACCTACCGAATAGCACAGTGAAGTGGACCCAATCCTCTTCTTAACCATCTCCACTACAAAATACAAACAATAGTAAGATAATAACTTTAAAAATATATACTCAGCATAATAGTTCTTTGTTTGAAATTCATCAGAATAAACCGCAACGCTCTTGTGCATTATGCAGAAGACCCGACAGCCGCACCCTTATCCACTACCTCCTAAGATGTCCCCACACACAACGCTTCCGTGACGCCTGCTGGACCACCACTCCACGACCCCATGACGGAGACACGATGATCCTCCCCATACTGGCCAGATATTATGTAAATAATATTGATAATGTGTTAAAGGAATATCCTTCCTTCCTTAGGCTTTAGTAAGCCCCTTTATAATATCTATACTGTATATACTTGTCACACTTGCCAAATGCTTCTGGTGTTATTGTACAGGGGTACCTAGTGACAGCACTGGGATCCCGCTTCCTCTATCAAGGAATAAACTATTGAAATTGAATTGACCATTGTACTTAATAAAATACCTACATTAGCCATAACCACCGCGAGATTCGAAATGTGCAATCTAATGAGTTTCTCTCGTGTTCAAGATCGTTAAAAACTGGTGTAATTACTAACATAGTTTATGTATTTAAAGACTTTAATTGTTGAAGAGTAATAATAACATTTCTGCATCAGTATCAGAACAAACCAGAGATGAATCTCTTACAATTTATAATTATTGATGATTAGTATGATTCCTAAACTAAGGTACAATCAAAGACAAAAGTCCTGTCGCGGTTTTGTCCGAATATTAGATATAACTCGTGAAACATATGAGAGTCCCCTACAACAAGGCAGAGCGCACCAAAAGTTTAGCACTTCGGCATAAGTTTCATCAAATTTCACGACACGACTTGTACATGCTTAAGAATTGGGAATAGAGCCTGATCAGTGAGCACGCATGCAGAACTAAAAATTGGTGGTTAACCCCAAGACAGAGATCGCATCTTTATGATTAACAAATTTATTGGGAAAGCCTGGAGTAGTTTGCCTATTCTGAATAATTCAGTCAGGTCTTGACATACTGAGGGTGATATCACTTCTCACTGCCATGCAGGACAGAGGTTCATACACAAAGGAGATCCAAAAGAAGGGGGCACCACAGGTTTATCTTCTGAAGGTATTATGCCTTGTAGTGACCAGACCATATTTGCGATAAAACCTAATTGTAATTGATAATCATGAAAGAAGCACTGCTCACCGAGGCTCTATGCTAACATACTTAACTCGCAAACAAGGTTTAGGCTTGGGACAGCAGTTGGAAAAAGCACATTAAAGAAGAGTGCAATTACTGGGAACATGTCTTCATGCGTGTAATAGCTGTTATTCGTATGTTAGCTGAACGTAACTTGGCTTTTCGAGGAAGAGATGAAAGATTTGGTTCACTGCAGAATGTAAATTTTTTTAGGGCTGCTGGAGTTCATAAGTAAGTTTGATCCATTTTTAGCAAATCACATTTCGAAATATGGAAATTCAGGAAAAGGAAATCCTTCTTATCTGTCCAAAACCATTAGTGAGGAAATTATTGGACTAATGGCTCAAAAGGTTCACGCGTTCATTATTGACGAAGTGACTTTTTCTGGTTATTTTAGCTTGTCAGTTGACTCGACCCCAGATCTATCACATATAGATCAGTTAAGTGTTTTACTTCGATACATAAAAGATAGGCAACCTATTGAGCGCTTTTTAACACTTCTAGAACTAGGAAGCCATACTGGTGAGGAAGGTGTTGCAGTACTTACGTCATGTTTGCAAACTAAATTTTTCAAAATGTAGAGGTCAGCCCTACGACAACGCTGCTAACATGTCTGGGCGACGCCCAGTGGGCGTTATAGGGGGATGCAGCAAAAAAAAATAGAAGAAAATAAGTTTGCCATATATGTGCCATGTGCAGCCCATTCACTAAATCTGGTAGGCCGAAGTGCTGTTGACTGCTGTCAAGTGGCAGTTGTTTTTTTCTCAACAGTACAGTTGCTCTATACATTTTTTTCAGCCTCAACCAGCCGGTGGAAAATTCTTAAAGTTAGTCTTGGAAATGAAAGCGTTTTAAAATCCCTTTCTGATGCCAGATGGGAGGCACATGCTGTGGCAACAGCAGCAATTCTTAAGTCTTTCTTTAAGATTTGGGAAGGAAAGTCTAGCAGAAGACGAATCACAAAAAGGAGACATTAGAAGAGAGGCAGACAATATTGCAAATAAGATGCAAGAGCTAGAATTTGTTTTAATGTTGATCATATGGGATGAAATTTTGCATAAGTTTCATAGAGCAAGTAAAGTTCTACAAAGTGAGGACGTGAACTTGAAAACATGTGCAGATCTGTATGCGTAATTAACTGACCAACTCTGCATTTTACGAGATGACTTTGAAAGATTTGCATCACTCGCGAAGGAAATCCTACCAGATGTAGATTATAATGCATCGCAAACTCGCAAGCGTATCAGAAAGAAGGTACCCAATGACGGAGATGCATTAGAAGTAAATCTGAACCCCAGAGATAAATTTCGTATCACCACCTTTTACACAATTGTTGACAAATTTGAAATCCAGATGAGAAGAGGAGAGGTGTACACAGAAATTGCGGACAAATTTTCTTTTCTAAGTGATGTACCAAATGTTGTATCATCATCTACTGAAACTAAGAGGCATGTTCAGTGTTCTCAAAGGCTAATTGATGCTTACCCAGAGGACTTGGACATTAATTTCTCTACTGAGTTTCAGCAGTTTCACTCATATGTGCGCCATAAGTTCAGTGCAAATGAAACTGTAAAAACCGGATTCAGTCACGCTGAACTTTATAAAATAATTTTAGAAGACAAACTTGAATGTGCTTTTCCAAATGTAGAAATTGCATTTCGTATATTTTTAACATTTATGCTCACAAATTGCACAGCTGAGCGTTCGTTTTCTCAGCTGAAGCATATTAAAAATCCATGCAGAACAACTATGCGACAAGAGAGGTTGGATGCCTTGTCTCTGCTAAGCATAGAAGCGGATTTGTTACAGCGGATTAGTTTTGAGGACTTGATCAAAGACTTTGCAATTAAAAAAAGTAGGAGAAAAATGTTTAAAGTTTAAGTAAATTTATACGTATTATTAGGCGATTTTAATCCATGTACAGTACATGCAATATGTTAAAATTTTGTATTTGAATTTTCTCTCTAATAACAATTTATTAAAAAAATAATAAAAAGTGTTGAAAACTTTCATTTTATCTGTTTCCCTGGATCCTGGTTATAAGTTGATAATTTGCTTATATTGCTTAGTGCTATTTAGTGTAAAATAAATAAAACCAGCTTATATTTAAAACAATTGTAGGATCTGGCTTGTGGGATGGCCTGGAAGAAACCTGAATTTTTTATCTCATATTTCAACATCAGTATTCATTGAGTCTTAATCATGGTCTTAATATCTTGTCAGTTAAGCAATGGGAGGGTCGAGGGGACACCATTGTTGGGCTGTGCTTAGGGCATCAATTGGCCTTAATCTGGCACTGCATGCAGGACAGAGGTTCATACACAAAGGGGATAATAATATAGATCATATTTATGAGGGTGCTATCACTGTTCACTGCCATGCAGGACAGAGGTTCATACACAAAGGGGATAATAATATAGATCATATTTGTGAGGGTGCTATCACTGTTCACTGCCATGCAGGACAGAGGTTCATACACAAAGGGGATAATAATATAGGTCATATTTATGAGGGTGTTATCACTGTTCACTGCCATGCAGGACAGAGGTTCATACACAAAGGGGATAATAATATAGGTCATACTAATGAGGGTGATATCACTGCTCACTGCCTTTTTTTTTTCATTTTAAACTATGCAAACAAATACAATAACTTAACACACAAGACATATGCATCACAAAACTAAGACTAATCTAATCCTTTTCGTTTTGATTATCTTTGTGTATAACCTGGTGTAAGTGATTTATTAACTAATGTAATTTGCAAGTTATCCAAGAAATAGGTTTACAAAACGAGAGAATAGGTAACAGAAGACTTCTCTCGTGGTCATAATCAACTGCAAAAGACATTAGACAGAGCCAGTAAACATTACATCTCCAGGGGGAGGAGAGTTGTTGAATATTTTGGAATTTTATAAAGGAGCTGAATATTTAGGGTATTAATAAGGGCTGGTTGTCCACAGATCATTACTACAACATACAAGATACCTCCTCAGGACACAGGTAGGGACATCAACACTGGAGCCTGAGGTGACGTGTCTGCAAGTTTCCCGGACAGACGCAATATTCAGAGAAGTGTGTGCGTGGAAAGCCCAGCTCACGGCCCAGACATTCATCCAGTGGCGGCTCAGGTATATAAAGGTCAACAGGGCGATCACTGCCACAGTTCACTATCGACTGTTCTCTGACACAGACACTCCTAAGAGGGCTCCCAGACACATTTAGTAGTCACAAGTAAGTTCCGTCGACAACACTATGAAGGGACGAACCATTTGAGAAAGTTATAGTTTTGTGACTGATATCAGTGTATCTGATGATGTCCAAGTTAATCCCATGATATTTTGTTGTTGAAAGATTGACTGCTAATATTATGTAAAGCATGACATACATAAATACCAGTGATATATACTTAAGAGTTGCACAATGAATTTCATCTTAATTCTCAAACTTCAAGCCAGTCAGTCTTTTCTTTAATAACTCTTATCTCTCCAGTGCGCTGCACGGGCGTGATTTTCTTGGCACTGGTGAGCTTCTGCTGCGCCTGGCCACCACACAAGACTCCTTTCAAACATCCCGCCATTCCTCAAGGACACTCTGCGTCCTTCCACTCCAGCTCCTCGTCTTCGAGTTCCGCCTCCTCCTCAAATAACAAAGAGTCCTCATCTAACTTCGCCTCGTCTGCGTCAGGAACGTTTTCCAATTCTTCGTCTGCCAGCAGTGCTTCCTCTTCTGCCTCAGATAGCTCAGCATCCTCCTCATCCTCCTCGTAAGTTCATTCCTCACCTTCTTACTTGTACTGTATGCAAGTTTTTGTGACACAAATAATTTTGCCTTACTGAGTGGATTTTTATTCCTATATACTTAAGTTTAAATAATTAATGAACATCCACACACTATGGTAAAGCCATCCAGGTATAATAGACAACATATACCATAATTATAACTTAGAAACACGATAGATAGATAGATAGATAGATAGATAGATGTTCATTAAAAATCTTCATACAAGTTTACATCGATTCTGCACGTACTGTATATAGATAATGCAGGTATATAATATACATTGACAGTGTAGGTATACTGCATACACTAAGTAAAAACAATGGTGAACAGTATATTGATTCAACTAGGGGCTGCGCAACAAAGCTATCGTCAAGGTCTTTAGAATATAATTATAGAATAAGGTCTGTTCACGTATCAAAGAAAACGGAACCTCTCAATGTTCGCGATGTCATTTGTGCCCACCCATCTCTGGCCGAGAATCCCGAGATCACATTCTGTATTACACCGAGACTAAATTTGTTCATTTGTTGTCCATCAGCCATTGTTTATATGGCTAGTTCAGATGATAACTTGTAAGCTATGTCCTGAAGGGGCTGTGCCATCAGCATGCAACAAAATTTTACAATTAACACTAATGGGCATGTCTCTTACACATAAAGCAAAGGTGCCAGGATACACCCTTGTGGGATTCCACAAGCTATAGTCAAGGATGCAGAGTCGGTATCATTTACAACGACACATTTTTGACAAAATTAAAAGATATTGCTCGCTGAACTTGATCAAGATATAAGACTATCAGTTACCTATTGCATTCACACATTTCATGCGTTGAGTATTCTGTATAAAACAGATTGTTTGAAATGAACACAGCCAGTCGAGATCCATTTCTACTATCAAAATAATCTTTTGGGTTCATATACTGTATGTGGACAAGTGTTTGTGTGTACATTATAATATGGCTTCATAAAAGATAACAGTAACCTTCTTTTACTCAGGTTCGTTACAGGAGCTGGAGCAGGTCATACGTTCAAAGGTCTGGGTGCACCTGCAGTTGTCTTCCCTGTGGCCCATGGAACTGCCCTTGGCTCCACCAGCCAAGGTGGTAGTCTAGATGCTACTGCAGGATTCGCAGCCGGTAGCCATAGCTCTGCTTCTGGAGATCAGGGATCTACCACTGGCTTTGGATCAGGTACTCACGGTGCTGGAAGCCAAGGTTCTGGATCTACCACTGGCTTTGGATCAGGTACTCACGGTGCTGGAAGCCAAGGATCTGGATCTGCCACTGGCTTTGGATCAGGTACTCATGGTGCTGGAAGCCAAGGTTCTGGATCTGCCACTGGCTTTGGATCAGGTACTCATGGTGCTGGAAGCCAAGGATCTGGATCTGCCACTGGCTTTGGATCAGGTACTCACGGTGCTGGAAGCCAAGGATCTGGATCTGCCACTGCCTTTGGATCAGGTACTCATGGTGCTGGAAGCCAAGGTTCTGGATCTACCACTGGCTTTGGATCAGGTACTCACGGTGCTGGAAGCCAGGATCTGGATCTACCACTGGGATCAGGTACTCACTGCTGGACTGGATCTACCACTGGCTTTGGATCAGGTACTCACGGTGCTGGAAGCCAAGGTTCTGGATCTACCACTGGCTTTGGATCAGGTACTCACGGTGCTGGAAGCCAAGGATCTGGATCTGCCACTGGCTTTGGATCAGGTACTCATGGTGCTGGAAGCCAAGGTTCTGGATCTGCCACTGGCTTTGGATCAGACACACGGTTCTGAAGCAAGGTTCTGGATCTACCACTGGCTTTGGATCAGGTACTCACAGTGCTGGAAGCCAAGGTTCTGGATCTACCACTGGCTTTGGATCAGGTACTCACGGTGCTGGAAGCCAAGGTTCTGGATCTACCACTGGCTTTGGATCAGGTACTCACGGTGCTGGAAGCCAAGGATCTGGATCTGCCACTGGCTTTGGATCAGGTACTCATGGTGCTGGAAGCCAAGGTTCTGGATCTGCCACTGGCTTTGGATCAACGACACACGGTTCTAGAAGTCAAGGTTCTGGATCTACCACTGGCTTTGGATCAGGTACTCACAGTGCTGGAAGCCAAGGTTCTGGATCTACCACTGGCTTTGGATCACTCATGGTGCTGGAAGCCAAGGTTCTGGATCTACCACTGGCTTTGGATCAGGTACTCATGGTGCTGAAAGCCAAGGTTCTGGATCTACCACTGGCTTTGGATCAGGTACTCATGGTGCTGAATCCAAGGTTCTGGATCTCCACTGGCTTTGGATCAGGTACTCATGGTGCTGAAAGCCAAGGTTCTGGATCTACCACTGGCTTTGGATCAGGTACTCATGGTGCTGAAAGCCAAGGTTCTGGATCTGCAACTGGCTTTGGATCAGGTACTCATGGTGCTGGAAGCCAAGGTTCTGGATCTACCACTGCCTTTGGATCAGGTACTCATGGTGCTGGAAGCCAAGGTTCTGGATCTACCACTGCCTTTGGATCAGGTACTCACAGTGCTGGAAGCCAAGGTTCTGGATCTACCACTGGCTTTGGATCAGGTACTCATGGTGCTGGAAGCCAAGGTTCTGGATCTACCACTGGCTTTGGATCAGGTACTCACAGGTGCTGAAAGCCAAGGTTCTGGATCTACCACTGGGATCAGGTACTTGCTGAAGCCAAGGTCTGGAGGCTTTGGATCAGGTACTCATGGTGCTGAAAGCCAAGGTTCTGGATCTACCACTGGCTTTGGATCAGGTACTCATGGTGCTGAAAGCCAAGGTTCTGGATCTACCACTGGCTTTGGATCAGGTACTCATGGTGCTGAAAGCCAAGGTTCTGGATCTGCAACTGGCTTTGGATCAGGTACTCATGGTGCTGGAAGCCAAGGTTCTGGATCTACCACTGCCTTTGGATCAGGTACTCATGGTGCTGGAAGCCAAGGTTCTGGATCTACCACTGCCTTTGGATCAGGTACTCACAGTGCTGGAAGCCAAGGTTCTGGATCTACCACTGGCTTTGGATCAGGTACTCATGGTGCTGGAAGCCAAGGTTCTGGATCTACCACTGGCTTTGGATCAGGTACTCATGGTGCTGAAAGCCAAGGTTCTGGATCTACCACTGCCTTTGGATCAGGTACTCACAGTGCTGGAAGCCAAGGTTCTGGATCTACCACTGGCTTTGGGTTAGGTACTCATGGTGCTGGAAGCCAAGGTTCTGGATCTACCACTGGCTTTGGATTTGGATCAGGTACTCACAGTGCTGGAAGCCAAGGTTCTGGATCTGCCACTGGCTTTGGATCAGGTGCTCAAGGTGCTGGAAGCCAAGGTTCTGGATCTACCACTGGCTTTGGGTTAGGTACTCATGGTGCTGGAAGCCAAGGTTCTGGATCTACCACTGGCTTTGGATCAGGTACTCACAGTGCTGGAAGCCAAGGTTCTGGATCTGCCACTGGCTTTGGATCAGGTGCTCAAGGTGCTGGAAGCCAAGGTTCTGGATCTACCACTGGCTTTGGGTTAGGTACTCATGGTGCTGGAAGCCAAGGTTCTGGATCTACCACTGGCTTTGGATCAGGTACTCATGAAGCTGAGGGCCAAGGATTTGGTGCTGGCTTTGGATCCGCCACCCACGGTAGCCATGGATCTGGTTCCTTTTCCGGATCATCGTTTGGAAGTCCAGGTGTTATCAGAAAGACGTCTTACGGCACCGCCACTCATTACATCTTACCAACAGTGAGCCACCAGTCTTCTGCATCAGGCTCAGGCATCAGGGAATACGCTATCAAAATCACTGGCACAGGTGAGTGATGCACGTAATTGTTTCTTTCGTGACAAATACTAATGGACACCATAATACTTTATTTTCAACTTTACATCAAAAGTTACTGAGTAGAAGAGCATATACAGTACTTTTTCCACGTGTTTTATAATTCTTAGAGATGAAAAATGGAATTTCATGGCATGAAAATACCCCTGTAACGGTTTTGCATTATATTTCATTTTAAGTATATACACTACACTGTATATACCAGGTTTCTGACCCTTTTGTACAAATGTTTCGTTATACTTAAGAAAATATCATTGACATAAATTACAAGGTATTGTTTATGACCAACAGTTCACGCTGGTTCCTGCCCTGATGTCGCTGATGAGTGCTCCCAAACCAAATCGAGAACAACCATCAAAAAATGCTCCAACGACGCCTCCTGTTCCAGCAGTGAAAAGTGTTGCTTCGACACTTGCCAGTCTCACCACTGGGTCTGCAAACAAGCAATCACCCAGTCTTTGAAGTGGTGATCACCACCCTGTGATGCAGTGTTTGATGTGCCCAAACAATTATATACAATGCAGTTCCTTGAGGATGCTTCTGAACGCTTATTATCTCATTTATAAGCTTAACACATTATCTTCATAATGCCATACGTGACGTCATATTGTTTCGCTCATAACCCGTGCGGTACTTTTTTTGTGTTCATGTACTGTATTCAATAAAGACATATCTTATACTTCTTATGCACTGTATCTTTACTTTTCCAATTCCGTTCCCACTAAGACACAGTGACCAAAATCGAGTCTAGTCGCTCATTCTTTTTAGCTGCTTTACCAGGTGGGTTCTCCTTTGGTGGTTCATCTTCCATAACAAGACCCAAAGGAATCTGTTATTATTACATTTATAATCATTATAATTATTTCTAGTTTTCAACTTTACATTTGCTCTCTTTATATGAATGCTCTGTCATAGTACTAATATTAATTTACATACTCTCCATATAAGTTGTATGCTGAAAGTACACAACTTATAACAAAGTTGTTGTACTTTACATACAATCTTAAACCTAACCTTCCAGCTACTCTATATAGCTTACCCATATCTCTTCACACATCACCCATCACACACCAGCAACACATCTATCCCCCTCCCTCAAAACAAATATGCATTAGAATCCATTACTGAGCAGGGAATACTTTGTGGCCCTCCTTGTGTCCCAGTCAGCAGAGAGCCAAAGGTCACCTGTTATTGTCACGTGCCGACCACATGTTGAGTGAAGAAACTGTTTCCAACTCATAATAGCTTACTAAGCGAGATGGAGCTGGTAGCAGCTGTGTGACTGCCTGAGGACCAGTCTCGCCTTCTACCGTAGAGATAGCATCTTGAATTTTCGATCAGCCAACATCTACCAGGAGGATATTATATTTGTTCTCGTTGGTCAAACCCTAGCCCCCAAAACGTGAGTGTGATTGTGAACTATTAAATCCTCTAAGAACTCTATATAACTTTAATAAGTGTATTTATGTACTGTATATTGATCATATTATACAAACTGTGTCCTGATGTATCAGCAGTTGTGACATGCGAGTTATATTTAAGAGGTTAATAGGTTATGTACTGTATATTGAGCGTACTATTCAAACTGTGTGTCCTGAGATACCAGCATTTGTTATATGTAAATTGTTTTTTAACAGGTTTTGACCGAATTATACTCATCGCGTAGACGAAAAGGGTCTTATTGTCCTGCACAAACCAAAATCACTCCTATGAGCAGTTACATCACCAACGGTCTGTAGTTATGGCCAGTGTTAACTACATACAACCAGTGAAATACTCTCGGCATATCCAGTTCAGTTTAAAACGAGGAAATGGATATTCAAATGACAATATTATAAAACCATTGAACTTACTTTATGTTCACTGTTGCAGGCAAAGCTGTCATGTGCAAAAACCCATCAAGGCCCTCATGTCTGCTAGGAGACCACAAAAACCCACAGCAGACAGGCCATATCAATTCTCTAAAGTTCCTCAAATATGGTACAATCTCCCAACTTTATTACTCTCCAATGTCACCTCCCTGGCCAACAAGTTTGATGAGCTCGCCAGGACAATCAGGTCAACTACAGCAAACATTGTTGTCATCTCTGAGGCGTGGCAAATTGTCCCAGACTTGGCACACTGAGGGATATCAGCTCTTTCACCACCTTCAAACAAATGGGCATGACGGGGGCGGTGTTCTCTTCTGCCATGATGACCTATGTCCATCCTGCCTTCGTGTTAGAGTTCCAGCTGGTGTGCAGGGATTATGGGTATGTGTAGTACCACATGTTCATCTTCGCCACAACCTTCATTATATACTACACCCAGGGCCGGATTAAGAATTTGCGGGGCCCTAGGCCATTATAAATGCTGGCGCTTAAAGAGAGGGAAATAGAGTCGAAAATGTAGCTTCTAGGGGCCTGCTCACCTGGGAATTTTTTTAAATTAAGGTCCTTTGAGGTTGCAAATCCTGCCTTCTGAAGGAGAGTGCAATAAATGGTATATGATATGAGATTTCCGTAATCTAAAGATATTTTTAGGCAAAACCAAACATTCTGCGAGGCTTTTTGTTCTCCGTATTGGATGAATGAAACTGATTGTCAGAAAAAAAGGAACAATAAAACAAGTGAAGTGAACCAGAAAAACATGTAACTTTATTATATCACGCAGTAGAATAACAATGTGAAAAAAAGGAAATTCATTTCACAGCCCTCTTTCGTGCTTTGCTGCAAGCAAATTCATCAATAACATGTTCAAAGTTAAGTGTTTGAGTAAGATCTGATTCAATGGTGAGAATAGAAAGGTCGCCAAGTCTGTCTTGGGTAACAAAAGAATGTAATCCGTTTTTCACACACTTGAGAACTGAAAATTAACGTTCTCCTTCTGTGTTTGCCGCTGGCAATGTCAGGTAAATCCTCAATGCTATTTCAACATTTGGAAACACTTCAACAATATCCGATCCTCGAATATACTCCAACATCTTCTGAGGTGATGGAAGAGCTTTCCTTAGTTTTGAGAGGTGCCCAGAGAAATGAATCATCTCATCAAGAAAACTTTCTTCCATATCTGTGTAGTACGTTGTCTTTAGCTTTGAAGCAAGAGAGCGAATTTTGTCAGTAGAAAGTGTTCACGGTTCAAACAGCAGTTTAAATTGATCATGAGGTACTGTATAGAATTGTTTTCTGCGACCAAGCTCAGCAATCAAGGAATGCAAAATTACTACAAATGTCATAATGCGAAAGTTTTCTCTTGCCATTGGTAACCCTACTTCAGCTGAAGCTTCATGATTTCATAAAACAAAAAAAGTTTCTGTTTTACCGTCCGTCTTTCATCTTAAGTGTGATCGTCCACTAGTTTCTTGGCCTCTTGCTCAAATAAATCGTATTCGGTCATCAAGCCTTCATACAAGTGAACAACTGTGGACAGCTAAATTGTTTCCTTTTGCAGTGCTTTGCTTGTGGTAATGAACTGATGCAAAACTTTGTCCCACAAAATATACAAAATAGCATGCTCATACTTTTCCATCTTTCGAGCCAAAATGATGCTTCACTGCGTGTCTGAAGTGTCTCTTTTTTTTTGTCTGTGGAAATGGCTTGCAAACCAGAATAACTTTTTTTTTATAGCTCTCCTTCAATGCCTGCGTTGCATCATATCTGGCGGACCATCTTTTATTTGACAAAGACTTGGGAACAATACTATGCTGATGCAGAAAATCTTGAGTAACTTCCAATGACGTGTAAATGCCGAAAATAAATTATAAAGAGCTTGACTGACTCCACAAAATGAAACTGCATTGACACAACATTCTGAAGCACATAAACTAAACTAGATTTAAAGAATGTGCTGAACAAGGAACAAAATGAGCAAGAGAATTTGTTTCTTATTCTTTGCTGAACTCTTGAATACTTTTCAGCCATGTTGCTGGCATTGTCGTAACTTTGTCCTCAACAGTGAGAAATGGAAATATCAAGGTCATTCAGTGTACTTAAGCACATTTGTTAGATACTCAGCATCATGCCATTCAATCTCAATGAATTTTAGAAACCTTTCAACAGGAATACCATCAGCACTCACATAGCGCAATATGAAAACTAACTGATCTGAGAGGGTATATGTCTGGTGTCGAATACATACTTATGCTGTAGTATTGTACTTGGCTACCGACACTTCAGACACAATAGCAGTTGTAACCTGTTGATGAAAGATATGAAGGGATACCACGTCCTGCATTACCGAATCTGTTCAAATGATCCGCTAGGAAAGCATCATACTGTGCAAGCAGTTCGATTATTCAAAGAAAGTTTCGGAATGTATTAATTCCCCCAGATCGCATGATATTACAGAGGGAAGTTCATACAGGGCTTGAAGCAGAGGAGGGAGGACTCGAGGTTGAATGGGGACGGGTGTACACGGGTTATATCCAGGGGGTAGGTAGTGGTAGCGAGAGCACCAGCGCTGAGCCAGGGGGCAGCGGTACACCCTCCACCCGCTCTACCTCACACCCAGGAGGAGATACCAGCTCTATCCCACCCAGGAAGAGGCAAGCACCGTGTAAACAATGGCATTTTTAACCACACCATGCAAAACACAGTGTATTTAGCAAATGCTGCAGCTGCTGAGAATGGACGGGGGCCGGAGTTATTACCAAGAGCAGAGACGTTACCGAGAACAAATTCCGGCTTGAATGTCTTGTACACTAATACTGACACGTTCCTTGATAAGAGAGAGGAGTTTGAAACACTACTGAAGGTACACCAACCCGAAATAGTAGGAGTTGTAGAACTGTTGTACAAGAATAGGAGAATCGACCCAGAGGAATTTGAGTTCAGTATTGACGTATATGACTTATTTACGAACCTTTCTCAAGTAACTTGAAAGAAGGGTGTGGTTATCTATGCTAGGCAAGACCTTAGGGCAAGCCAGGTGAGGGTACAGGAAGAGGATGTTTTTGAAGAATCAAAGTGGTGTAAAATTAAGTTGAAGGGTGGAGATGTACTTTTTGTCGGATGCATCTACAGATCCCCAAATCGCAGCTTACCAAACCAAAGAAACTTAAGAGCCTTAATTGACAATGCAGCGAGGCTCAACCTTAGCCACCTCCTTACTTATCATGGGGGCTTTAACTATGGCGACATCGACTGGAGAACTGAGCACACGCCAAATGACCTAAATAGCCCTGCTACTCTCTTTGTTTAAACTCTGAGAGATCATTTTCTGTTCCAGCATGTGAAAGACCCGACGCATTACAGAGGGTAGCAAACACCCAAGCCACTGGACCTCATCATAACAAACGAGGAGGGTATGGTGGTCAAACTGGAACATCTAGCCCCAGTTGGCACAAGACACCATGTAAAGCTGTCCTTCGGGTTTAATTGTTACTCAGTGCACGACATTACCAGGCCAAGGTGCAAATATTACAAGGGTAATTACAATGGGATAAGGGAGGAGATGAGGGGTATCCACTGGCCTGACTCACTAAGGTACAGTGACCCCTCGTTTAACGAACACCTCAGTTAACGTAATTTCGATTAATGAACTGCCTTCCATAAGGATCTTCAATTCGGTTAACGAAAAAAAATTCGGTTAACAAAGTTCTTACGAACCGACCTCAACATGTTTTCGCTTGCACTGACCGGGCAACCAGCTTTAGTATCAGTCCGCCAATACATTAATCGGTTCTAGGGCTTAAATTCCTTACTATTTT